AGAAAATATCAAACGTAGCGGTTGTCAGAATTTCGACCTGTAGGTCTAGATCGCATGCATTTTTAACTTTACCCTATTTCAGACCTAATAACTAATTAAAAATAGCAAATTAAAGTGAAACTAGGTCTTGCTTTTTATTTTTACACATCAAATAATTTTACAGATTGATGTAAGTAGGCTATATTTATCAGTTTTCCGTAGCTAGCAAGATGTGTATGAATCATACTACAATCCCACTTCGTATTTCCTGTATACGAGAGGAAAAAATTCCTGACAGGGATGATTCTCTCTTTTTAAATTACAGTCATTGCCTAATACAAAAACAGAGGGAGGGAGAGAGATGGACGTATCGGAGTGTGTTCGTTAGTAGCATTTGGTGTTTGATTTTGATAGTTTTGAGGTCTATACGCTATTTATGCATGACACAAATAGTATTAAAGGGGATTTCAGTATAGTAACTAATAGTGTTAAACTGAATTTCTGCAACGAATTCAAAATTTTAGGTAAATAAATTGACGAGCTGCTTCGTTTGAGACAACACTTATTAATACTTGGTTTATCTACTGAAAAAATGGTAAAATGAAGCCTTAGTTCTCTCTATAAGTAAATGCGGATTCTGAGTTTATTTTCCTTGTTTAGATCACATACGAGATGTATACACAGAATCCAAATGATACAAAACATATGCTGTCGCTTTATTAATCGGCTTAGAAAATATGACCATCTTTCTGAAAAAATCAAGGACTTGAAATGGTTAAAAATTCTAGTAGCATTCCAACACGATTTTTGTACAAAAATTGATCAATGATTCTATATCTCTAGTACACCTTAAGGTCAAACTAAATTTCAGATCAAACCTTCATACTTTAAACACAAGAGATCAACTATCTTGAAACAACCTTCCCACTCAACAAGCTTTTTTCATAAAAGTTTTACGTATCAAGCAATCAAGAAATTCAACTAACTTCCTTTATAACTTAACCAATTACCGGCACGAATATTTAGGGAAGCACTTAAGCAATATTCGTACAATAAATACCTGTAAATTATTCATACATTATAACAGGTTTGTACATTTCATTTGTCTATTTTAAATCTTTGAATTATAAGATTCACGATAGGTGTAAGAGTAGCTTCAAGCTAAATCTCTCCTTTTGTATTAATAGTAATAGACGATTATTATTAGATACTATTTGCATTGGCCTTCACTATCTTCACAATTTTAAACTTCCCTTACCACATATGGACGCATTTTAAAGGTATTTTTCCTGCAATATAGAAAATTTTACTGGATTGCCTCGAACATCCATCCTTCCTTACAGATAAAAAATACACTACCTCCTATCTGAAATCCCCTTCAGTTGCCTCAGAACCTTTCTTCCAAATCTCCTCACACTAACATCTAAACCTTGACCGTGAACACTTCCGCGCAATAAAATAGCGACACGTATGTTCACTATTTTACATTTCCCACACAACGCTGTCAACTGTTCATAATGCATTAAGTTTGGCACAACTTAGCCGCTTTGAGAAGCGAGCTACAAGCATGAATAATAAAGGAATTAAATGGATGAAGTCAGTTAAGTAAGCCCATGCTGGTCTCCAGTCCCACACATTTGAGAAAGTTGCGGTCTAATTTCAAGTGAGCTGACTAAGCCTTGGTACCGGCCAGGTTGCGACCGTTCTATGCATTTTCTTGGTTGCACCTATTTAGCTGATACCACCAAAACACGATGTCGTTTCGTATCGGAAATTTGGAAATATTTCTGTCATTCATTTTCAAGGGCAAATGTACGGGGAAATCCATCTGTGAAATATATCTATAAGGTAGGTAGGATTATCGGGGTTAGACGTGTATAAATATACCCTACGACCCCACACCCACAATTTTTTATGTCACAAAAACGGATTTTCTTTTTTTTTTCGTTTTCTTGCCCATAGTCCTTCTGCCAATGTATCAATGTTCAAAGACTACAAAGCCTTTTCATCCTTCATGTCTGTATCAAAGTTTGATCAAAATCTGACCGGTAATAATAATAAGCGTTTATTGCCCAACAGTTTAACACCATTTACAGAGCAAACTAGGTACTATAAAAAAAATCACCATGAGGTAGCTTGTTAAGAAAAAAAAACAATAATAATTCATGTATCAATAACAAAAAATAAATATAGTTACAGCTTAAAAATAAGAAACGTAAGATAAATCAAAAGTGAGCACGCAATTTGAACTTCAATTCACCTATGCTATATAAGAATATGTCACATACATCGGCTATTTTATTCGCATTCACACACATCATGTTGACAGGCGCTTTCGACAATAAGTTTGTTTGAGCTCTTTGACATAAAAAGGAACATTATACCTTGATGTTAGTCGTGGTACCAGAAACTGTATTTGTGAAAGTATTGTAGGGCAGTCTATTAGATTATGCAGTAATTTATATAAAACTATAACTGCTGATTGCTGACGCCGTTGTTCTAAGGATTGAATGCCAAATTTATGAAGAAGGATGTTGTATTCTGTACCTCTAGTAGGATATATGCCATCGATCTTAAAACATAAAAATTTTAAAAATTTCTTTTGAAGTTTATCAACAACATCAATATACTGCTTGTAAATCGGACTCCATATCAAAGATCCATATTCAAGCTTAGACCTAACCAAGCTAAAGTATAATGTCTGCAAAGTCAAAACGTCAAAAGATTTACAATTCCTGATAACGAAGCCATAGGTTCGGTAAGCACTTGATATGATTTGATTGATATGCTCATTAAAGGTTAGATGTTGATCAAAGTAGATACCTAAGTCTTTCACAGTTTCACTGCGCTCAAGAACATGTTGGATCATTGTATAATTATATACCATTGGGTTGGTTTTCTTTGAAAAAGTTACTACTTTACACTTACTTATATTAAGATGAAGTTGATTCTTGGCACACCAGCTTTGCAATTTATTTATTTGACCTTGAACAAATGCACAGTCTTCCAAGCACGAAACGGATGAATAAAATTTTAGGTCGTCTGCAAACATTAACTTAGAACAAGCCAAAGATTCACACAGATCATTCACAAACAATATGAACAACAGTGGTCCTAAATTCGAACCCTGTGGCACGCCACTGGTTGAGACATAAACATGTGATATGTACCCATTATAAAAAACATACTGTTTCCTTTCAAACAGATATGATGTTAAGAGCGCTAAGTAAATGTTGTTGAAGCCCAGGTACTCAAGCTTTCGGAGCAAAATACTGTGGCTGACCCTATCGAAGGCCTTGGAGAAATCGGTGTACACCACATCTACCTGTCCTCTATTGTCTAATCTTTCGCACAAGTATTGGCTAAATACCATTAAGTTTGTTAGTGTTGAACGCTGCCTTATAAAACCATGTTGGTCGATGGAAATATTATTTTTAGTGGACAGGTAAATGCGGTTGTACAGTACGATCTCCAAGAGTTTTGCAAAATTATTGAGTATAGATATAGCCATATTTTCACTGATACAGTGATAATTTTTTGACTTTGGAATTGGGCAAACTTTGGCAATTTTCCATTTATCGGGGAAAACAGTCGTTGTTAGGATTAAATTGAAGATAACCCGTAAAGGATGAACTAATTTCCTGATACAATCTCTAACAATAAAAGATGGGATTTGATCAGGTCCAGCAGTCAATTTACTTTTAAGCTTTCTACAGGCCACTAAAATTTCCTCATCTGATATTGGCTCACAACTAATGGCGACGAGTCCACTATGACTGAAATCAAAGTTCAACTCAGTATCGACTTTAGCAGTTGAGTAAACGCTGGAGAAAAAATCAGCGAAGGCGTTGACTATACTTTGCGGATCACCAAATGACTCGTTTCCATACAACATTCTATTCGGAATCCTAGAAGTGTTGTTTTTACTATGTACGAAAGACCAGAAAGACTTAGGGTCATCATTTAGCTGATTTTGAATGGTTTGAAGATAGATATTATATGCCTCTTTGGTTTTAAGCTTAAATATTTTCCTGATTCTGCTGAATTCTTGGTAATCTTCGTTAGCACCAGACCTTTTAAATTTTTTGTGCGCTTTGTCTTTTTGTTTTACTAGTTTTATAATTTCACTGGTGTACCAAGAGGGATATTTATGCCTGAAATTTTTATATTGTGGAGCGTGTGCATCGAATAATTCGTAAAGTTTGGTATAAAATGCATTAATTGCATCATTTGTGTCACTAGTGTTATCCAAGAAATCCCAATTAACCAATAACAAAGAATTGTACAGCGAAAAAAAGTTAGCACGTCTAAAATTATATCTTTTTTGGTCAGTACTGACTGTGACGTATTCATTCTTTTTGCAGACAGTTTTTAATGTTACGGACAAAGAAGGATGATACACGTCTTCATCCACTAATGGAGCTAAATCTCTATAAACAATACAACTAATGTTACTTATTACTAAGTCCAGGATTCTATCATATTGGTTATGAATATTATTATACTGTTTCATGTTCCAGAAGTTGAGCCAATTAACAATGTAGCGGGTCTTTGCGTCATTTAAATTATTTTCCACAAAGTTTGGAGAATTGAAATCACCCAGAAAGACAACACGTTTGGAATGCATGATTTCCCAGTTTTCTAACATTTCAAAAAAAGCTTCAAATGTATCAACAGAAACATGTGGTGCAGCGAAATAAAGATTCTGATGAGGAAACTTGTATCAAACTGCGTAGTATCTACCACAACAGAGTTAAGAGCCGCTTCAAATGCCAGTAGTACACCACCACCCATTGACAGGTTCAATTGATTATGTTTTCTGTCCTTACGATGAACGTCAAAAGAATTGGGAAATAATTCGAGAGAGTTTACTTCGGGCTTTAGCCACGTTTCGCTTAAAGCAAATACATTATACTCACAGTCACTCACAGCAGGATAGAATTTGTTAATTTTGCTGTTTAGCCCTCTAACATTCTGATAGTACACTGTCAAAAAATCACTACATCCACTATTGGGCCGACCTAGTTTAAAGGAACAATCCTTGGTACATTGTTGATGAACTTGATCCTACAGTTATTATCTCCTGCTTCATGACGCCTGGCTAACTCAGTTCTGATACCTTTATAATGCTCCATTTGCCTTTTGGTGCGATCCTGTACGATGTTTACATGCTTGAAGGTATTACTTGATTTAAGCTTTTTCGCATTCACCAGAACCTGCAATGCTGAGTCATAGCTGTCAAGTATTACCTTGATGGGTCTAACTTTTGTGCCGCAAAACATTCCTAATCTCATCACTTTTATGTTGGTTAGCCTCACGTCAGGGACAGCTTCACGTAACAAGTTGACGACAACTGTTTTATCAGATTCATTTTGATCACTTCTGGCTTTTTGATCAGGCTCAGTGACATTAAAGACTATTACGTTGTTTCTACGTCTTTCACGCTCTGAAATCTCAGATATGATGTCTTCCATGGAAAAACTTGAACCTGCATTTTTGGTGTTATCAGTTTTCAAATCCTTTATTTGATTACGCAAATCGATGATTAATGCCTTCAAGTCATTAATGTCTCTACCTATGGATCTGCAGTCCTTACAGGTCCAATCGTACCCCTTGCTCGAATTTAAAGTACGAACCTCATTTGCGCTGATTTCCACACAGGAATGCTTGTATTTCTGCTTACAAACACAGCACGTAACAATTTGATGAGGCTCACACTGTTGATTACAGCAGCTGCAAGGGACTCTAGCTGGCATAATTATGAATTTTGTGTGCAAATGTTTGTTTTCTAAATCAACACAAGTACGCCACTGGCAAACTATTTCCACTTTGTTTCAATGAAAATTCCAGAAATTCCACCAGAGATTGTAGAGGTTAGCTTTCTTTTATTATAAAAAAAAAACTGTGTTAAACTATTAAAGATGAACTAGAAAAACTTGCCCAATGCTCAGTGATTACGTGAGCGTAACTATGATACTCGCAAACAAATTTTCAATTGAGTCTCACTACCGATCTTAGAAGCTATAACGGAGCTAGTAAAACACGTATTGTTAGTATATGCTCAGTAAGCTATAGAGGTGTCAAGATTAGCGAATAGTCCCACACAGGGCAGTCTTAAGCCATGCTGGGGCCCTGGGCCCACAGGAGCTTGGGGCCCCCAGAAAAAATCGAAAACAGGCGTACTTCTAGTAAAACATATTTATTGAATTACAAATTGCCTTAGAGTAATATTATGTGCTTTTCCCGTGATTTCATTTGGACAAAAGCTTCAATGATGTCGTCAAACTCCAGTTGCTACAAAATGTCACTCTCTATAGACATAAGGAACAAACTGGTGAGGCGTTCTTGTGACATGGACGTTCTTCATTAATTTTTTGCTCTCTTCAACTTTGAAAAAGACCGCTCTCCGCTGCAGCTAGTAGCCATTAGACACAGGAAAATTCTTGTTGCAATTTCCACATTTGGGAATGTTCCCTCCACTTTGTCCCTTCTCAAGAGGCTGTGCAATGCCGGAATACTTTCAGCCGATTTATAACGACTAGATAGATATCGGCTACTTTTATGAATAAAAGTTGTAGTAGTCAATGTGATGGCTTGATATCGCAACCTGTAGCTTCGGTAAAATTTTGATGATCATTCACAGAATTTGAATCCAACACATTGCGCATTGCATATAAGAATTCGGCTTTTGGGGGTCCCAAAATCATGACGGGGCCCTGGGCCCGGGCCCCGCGAGTCATTGTGTTAAGACGGACCCACAGACTGATGGAAATGAGTGACAGGTATTTCATGATGTACCTGTCATCAAAACTCTTTCTTGCGGATTGGCGTGGGAAGTGGTAGAATAATCGACCATGTTTCTACAACATGGTTGCAACCTCAAACCAAACTTGTAGTTGTAGTTTCGTTTTCAAGTATTTTGACAGCACCAGTTAACTTACCAGAAGTTCATCATATTGTCGCCAATAACACGAAGTGGCGTATTCCAGAAAATACGAAAATTGAGTTAAGTCAATTTTATTACTTAAAAAAAGTTGCTCCTCAATACCACGAAGTGATATACCTAGTTCAGTTCCTAATACCTTCAGAGTTATACAAAATCGGAATGTCCGGGTGGAGGGTGGGCTCGAGGGAACAACATCGAAGATAAAATTTGTTTTTCGAACATCTGCGGGATCAACAGCAACATTGATGCTGTTCATCACTACCTGCAATCCAATCGTCCCGCCGTGCTTTTCTTGGCGGAGACAAAAATCTCAGAGACTGCACCGATTAACCATCTCAACTTTCCAAACTACGAGGTGCACTCCAATCTGAGAAAGAACGGGGGAGTTGTGGCTTTTGTCCGCAGCAGTCTTTCCTGCTCCAGGGATCTTTCTTTGGAATCAGACCGGAAGGACATTCTGTGGCTTCGCCTAAACTCCAAAACATCACCCAAATTTATTTGCTGCCTTTATCGCTCTCCCTCGAACCATAACTGGGATGACCTACTCGAATACCTCGCCGTCCAAATCGACTTCCTGAACATCAATCACCCCGCTTCAGAGGTAGTTCTTCTCGGTGATTTCAATGCCCATAATGAGCTTTGGTTGGGCTCAAATAAGACCGATGCAGCAGGTCGTGCAGTCGAAGCGTTCGCTCTTACTCAAGGGCTGACCCAGCTGGTGACGAGCCCTACTTTTTTTCCCCCGCGTCTCGTCACACGCCAGTAGCCTGCTGGATCTCTTTCTGACCACGCATCCTGCCCCTTACAGCACTGATGTCCTGTCCCCCCTGGGTAACTCAGATCACGGTGTTGTGGAGGTTAGGTTTCGGTCAGAAGCCGCTGTGGCAGCAGAAACTCGCACAGGCCGCAAAACTTGGCATTACGGGCATGCCGACTGGGAGGGGCTCAGGGACTTCTTCTCCAGCTTTCCTTGGAGAGATGTCTGTTTCGCTGACGCGGATGCGTCGACTGTCTGTTCTTCAATAACCGAAATTATCCACGTCGGAATGGAGGAATACATCCCTCACACAGTGAAAGTTCCTAAACCAGGGTCCAACGGCTGGTTCAACAAATCGTGTGACACTGCTCGCCAGCAGAAGATCAAGGCCCACAGAACCTACTTACAAAACCCCACTGTAGAGAACAGACAAGCCGACGTCGAGTCCAGAAACAAATATAACGAAGCGGTTCGCAATGCCAAAACCCAGCATGATATAAAAGTTAGGCACAGGGTAATGTCGCAGCGCAATGGTAGTCGGTCTTTCTGGACGCTGGCCAAGCAGATTGAAAAGAACTTCTCACACAGTAGCCTTCCACCACTTACGTGTCAGGATGGAACTATTGTATTCGACTCAAAGGCCAAGGCGGAAGTGCTAGCCAAGATCTTTGCTGCCAACTCCACCATGGACGTCCCCACCAACGCCCAAGTGCCGCCAATTCAAAGGGTTCCCCACACTATGCGGGAGGTAACATTCAGGCATAAGACCGTAAGACGAGTGCTCTTGTCGCTCGACATCAACAAAGCTTCTGGTCCGGACTTGATTCCTGCCATTGTACTGAAGAGATGTGCAGCTGAGCTTGCTCCAGTTCTTTCGCGTCTCTTCCAGATATCTTATGAATCCGGCACCTTCCCAGAAAACTGGAAATTTGCTCATGTACAGCCCATCCCAAAAAAAGGATCTAAAACCGACCCTTATAACTACAGGCCTATAGCTCTACTTTCTGTTATAAGTAAAGTGATGGAGAGGTGCATAAATCGCGAGCTTCTGGACTACCTCGAACGTCACAGCTTGATTAGCGACAGGCAGTACGGTTTCCGGCACCAACGATCCACAGGGGACCTCCTAGCTTACGTCACGCAACTGTGGAGTAAACTCATCCAGTCTCATGGTGAGGCTCATGTCGTTGCTCTTGACATCACGAAAGCGTTCGATCAGCTGTGGCACGCTGCCCTCTTGAGCAAACTTCCATCCTACGGCCTCCCAGAAAAGCTTTGCAGATGGGTGGCTGACTTTATCTCTGGCCGCAAGATATCCGTCGTAATTGACGGATTCTCCTCTTCATCCCACAACGTCAACGCGGGTGTTCCCCAGGGATCGGTCTTGGCTCCAACACTGTTTCTCTTACATATCAACGACCTCCTTTCCTGCACAATCAACCCAATCCACAGCTTCGCTGATGACAGCACTCTACATGCAGGAACTCAGAGTGACAAGCCGATCTCTGCCGCTGAGCTGGAAAAAAGAAGACTAGCGACGACTTCTTCTCTGACAAGAGACCTGGAGGCTATCACTGCTTGGGGACGCAACAATCTTGTACAGTTCAATGCTTCCAAAACACAGTACTGTACCTTGACGAACAAAAAGCGTCCTAGCGCTCATACAGTTTCGATGTACGGTCGAGTACTAACAAAGAGCCATTCATTTCGGCTGGTCGGAGACCAGATCACCGAGGACCTGATCTGGCACGAACACATCTCTTCAATAGCTGCAGCTGCTGGGAAAAAGCTAGGCTATTTGTTTAGGGCTAAGAAGTACTTTTCTCCGCATGACCTTCTCACTCTATACAAGGCCCAGATAAGGCCTAGCCTCGAGTATTGCTCACACATTTGGGGTGCTGCCGCCCCGACTACATTGTCCATGCTCGATGCTGTCCAGAGGAGGGCGGTCCGACTGATCGATGAACAGACAGACAGTCTCGGGACTCTTTCGCACCGGCGGACCGTCGGCGATCTAGCTCTTTTCTATCGCTACACCAACGGGCTTTGCTCCTCAGAGCTCTCTTCCATGATGCCGCCGCGCGATGTGCCTGCCAGACAGACCCGCCTGACTTCGGCGTCGCATCCTAACCGTGTCAAACTTCGTACATCCAGAACTGGCCGATACGACCGCTCCTTTGTCCCGAGGGTGTCTAGATTGTGGAACAATCTACGGGAGGAAGCTTTTCCCAGTTCTACTAACCTTAGGCAGTTCAAAAATCGTACAAAATTTCTTTGGGATCATCATAGCAGCCGCGGTGTTCCGGCATTTAGGCTTCTGCCAGCGCGGCTGTTTCGATATAAAAAAAAATAATATTAAACTATCTCACTTTGATAGTAAATTACATTTCACGAGGGAGCTTAACTCAGGTTACGCCAATTTGTGAAATTATAAAATATATGTACATACCATTTTGCAGCGTATGGCTTATCTAAGTTACGCCAGTTCGTAAAATTGTAGTTTTAATTTTATCACTATAGGCACTGTGACGTATCCATCTTTTTAACTTGTCATGACCTGCATCCTATACTTTGATTCAATCTGTTTATATCTCGTCGAGTGCCCAGATAGTTTAGCTTTTATATGCTGTAGGTAAAACTTAGATTATAGAAGGTATATCATTATACTATTTTGAGCCACTTCATGGCCAAAATGAATGAGATTCTGTTTCTACAGCATTGTCCAAAGTAGGTGAAATGCTCATACCTGCCCAACCGCCTCCAGTTATTCAAGATTTTAAAAAAATGTCCCAACTGTCGAGAATTTCATAATAGAATGGCCCAATCTTATGGCAATAAAGGTTAAAAAACATGAGTTGCTAACAATATTTTACAAAACTAGTCACCTCCAACACGAATACAGCTTTTTTAGATTATAAAGACAAAAACTTAATTCAACAAATATTATCCTCGAAAATATGGATTTGAAGAACGCTGGGTGAAGCAGATTATACGGATTGTTCGTTTACCAGAATACCAAAGATTCTAAGTATTTAAGTCTTCCTCATGAGTAA